AACAGCAGGGTTACCTAATAAAGCTGGGAGCAATGCGCAAGACCACAGAGCATCTTTCCATGCGTGGATTGCCATCATAGTAGACATCCCTCTGGACTCGTGAATCTGACGCCACTACTGATCCAGCTCTCGTGGTCGGGACACCCAAGGCAAAAACGGCCTCGCTGCACAGGAACTCACGTATGCTGGAGCGCAAAACCTTTCTCCCATCTGCCTGCCTAAAAAAACACAAAGGACAAAAACTGGACAAAGATCTTAAGGAAAGAAAAGTGGAATTGGCATCTCCAGAATGATCATTTTAAATGTGAACAGTCAATGAGAATATCACAACATGATGTGGCACACAAAGTGTAGCAGTGAAAATGCAGTAGCAGGCCTACCTAGAGTATGGTGTCAGTCCAGCACCCTTCACCTGGATCTCCCAGCGTCCAGTGGGATTCTCATGCAGTAACTCAGGGCTCTGATGCACCGGGGCTTTCACTTCTCCCAGATAACATGCAGCTCCGTCCCCAAGCTGTCCTGCAAACTGTCCAAACTGGTGTCCGCAGTAGCAATGGGCAGCAGGCTCTGATCCTGGCATCACTTTAGACCCACTGAGATACTCTGGGCCCAGTGGATCCTTCAGAACCTCATCAGCATCAAGACCCAGCAGTGCCAGAGCTGGGCCTGAAACTGCCACAAACTTTGGGTTCTTCAGAGGGGTGGGTTGGACTCTAGAGAAGCAGGCCCCCCGGACCTTTCGGACCCCTGGTTCGGTGGAAGGGTCCAGTGGAAGTTTTTTAAGAGCAACACTGTCAAACTCCAGTCGCTCAAGGCAAGAGCGGCTTGTGCTTACTCCCATGTCATCCATCCCCACATGTGATAGCGATCTACGCAAAATAACACCGGAACATGAGATATAAAGACGCGCTAAACGCGCTCCAGCAGAGGCCATTCACATCGTACTGATGTCTAACAAAGCTTGTTAGTTAAGGAGACTAGGGGAAAAGTGACAGTCATCCTTACGTAACTGCAAAGAGAACCAAGCTGTTCTCAAATGCCCACGGAAATCTGGTCCGTCGTTGTTTTTGTTCCCCCTAGAAACAAACACACAGGATTCGAACATTTATTCAGTCCCCGTTTACTTTCACCGAAAAGTGAATATATATAATATATATTACATATCATTTAGCTTTGACTATCCCCTATTCAAAATTAAAATGTCAAAAAGAACTTCAGATAACTTCAGTATTTACTGCAGAACTAATAGCAATCTTACTAGCACTTCAGTGGATAGAAGACATACAACCAACAAAGGCAGTGACATGCACAGATTCTCTTTCAGCACTAAACAGTTTGTCAAGTGGAAAATCATTAGCAAGACAAGACATGATAAATGAAGTAATGCAGAGTCTTTTTAGAATAAGACAGTATGGACTTCTGGTAAATTTCGTGTGGGTACCATCACATATAGGTGTGAAAGGAAATGAGGAGGCTGATCATTTGGCTAAACAGGCATTAAATCATTCACAAATAAACATTGAAGTGGCATTAAGTAAATAAAAGCGATAATAGCGAAAGAAATACAGGAA